CCCCCCCCCCCCCCCCCCCCGCCCCCCCCCCCCCCCCCCCTATACTTTTTGACCAGTCCCTTACGGGCGGCCATCTTGGGTGAGTGTCAAAACTACTTAGGGGGCGGGGTACGGTTTGGGAGGAAGCGAGAAAAATACCTCCCTCCCCCCGCCGCTAGAAACTCCGACGCACTGCTGGCTTAAGCTAGAAGCTTCTTTTTATCAGTAAACTATATTTTCGCCGGTTAATGAACTGCTCCTAGGCGGCGTGACAAGGAAGGGATAGGTCACGCAGTATCAAGACAGGATAATGGCACAAATTTTATTCTCTCTTGGCAGAAACCTTTAGTCGCGGTATAATTTTAGTTGATTTCGCTTAATTAAGTGAAATGAGCAAAGAGTCTTTTAAACTGCAAAATCACGGTCGAAACAACTTTATAGCCTGCCTACTGCACAGCACAGAAGTCCTTTTACCTCGTCACGCAATCCTTCCCTAACGAAGTGCCTTGGGAGGACTGTGTATGGAGCCAAAGGTCGACGTATTCTTAGCCTTTTGATATTCTCCAGTTTTCCCATGCATACCCCTTTCTGTCTTTTCCATATTTCTTTCGCGCTGTTTAACAAATTAAGAGGTCGCCTCTGTTTCGTCAGATACTTTAGACGACGACAAATGACGCAAGTTAGAAAGGAAAGATCATTCAACTACCTTTTAAAAATTACGTGACATCGTGTAAAGTTCGTTCTCTTATATTTGATTTGATAGTTCAGTTCCTGGTCACAACAATCTAAGAATGTAAGAATGTACACAATAATATTTTCAGCCTTAAGTGACTTAAGTCGGTAGAAAATTCGGCCTTAGTATAAAAATATACACTTTTAGTTCTGAAAAAAGTGACTACAATGCCACAGGAACTGGTGCGCATTTCTCATTGTACTGTCCTTTCAACCCCCTTTTTTGCTTGTGGGTAACACTATCCCAGGTTCGACGCACATTACAGAAGGATGATCGAAGTTTGCCTTCCTCGATGTAACCTGACAACAAATAATCGTGGCCTTGGTCTAGAGCGCTCAGGGATGGAATACAAAACTTCCACCAGGCTGCTGGAGTATGGTATTTGATCACAATACTCTCGTTGCGAATGCCGGTAAATTGAATTCCTGGTAGTTGAGTAATTTTTTCTCCTCCTTTGAATATTTTTATGATCTTCAATCTGTAGACGTCATGTGGATCATAGCTGCCTATCTTTTTTAGTTCTCCATCTTCTGGAGTAACTTCTTGTGTGGGTCCTGACAAAACTTTGGCGTGCAACACTGGAAAAGTAAGACATACAAGACATTAGCTTATTTCACTTCAAGGCCTGGAAAGTGTTTGAGACACTAAACATTGAGCAAAATAGCAACATTAGAAGAGTTTTTGTAGGATTTTGAATAAAGATGATAATCATATATTCTCCAAGATTACTAGCCATTATCAACAATTCAAAGCAAGTTTTGGTCAAAATTACCGACCGTTTTTAGAGTGAACTTAGAGTCAAAACGACATATGTAAGACACGAAAAACACGCACTAGAGTTGACAAAGCTTGGTCGTCTTTGTTCACTTCCTTTGTCATCGTTTTGTTTACACTTGAATATACTCTGACCTCAACATAATCTGTGCACTTGTCATCCAACTTTTAGCAAGCCAAGGCCACTCAGACCTACTTGCAATGACAGATTTCTATTTATACAAATCTTTCTTTTGGATTTTCAGTTAGCACAAATACTGTGGTATCGGCTTCAGGGTAGAATGCCGAAATCAATCAGGGAAACGACGTCGAAAGTTTGGGAATAATCTTATTCAAAGAACGTCCATCACTCTGCTCTGTCTTCTTCGGTTATCCTCTTAACAAAAATGGAATTCTAAGAGAGTTGGAGGTCAGTATTATATGTGGATAATTATGAAACGACTTTGAAGTAGAATGAGGTAAAACACCGGACAGTAAACTCATTTTCATCACACGCTGATGTTTTGAGGGAAATTCTAAATCAGCCTCAGTCATGCCAATTGACGCTACGGAAAAAAGCAACAAGCTACTGATAAAACATGCAAAGAAACACTGTTATCCATGAATCCGGGCCATCAAAAATCATCAAAATTTTACGAACGCAGTTTTGTCTTAGCTTATGAGAGAGTTGTTAATATAACGTCCTGTACTTATATTTTATCGAAATTTTTGGTTGGAACTTTAAACAAACGGTACTTACCAAACGAAGCCGCGCAGAAATCTCTTTGAAGGTCAGTTTTGGGGCAGGAAGGACACGAAAAACAAGCTTGAGTAGCCGTCATGAAAATACAAAATAGAACCGAGGTGAAGTACAAAGCCGACATATCTGCCCTAGTGCTGTCACAATTGCTGTTGTTTTCTCTCTCTTGAGTTGACTGTTCCTTGTAGAAGACTCCTCTGTTTTGAGTTCTTCTGTTATCGTTTTATTCCTTTCAGAGGAATTAAACACTCAAAGACCGGATATTGAGACATTTGAAAAAGCGAAGACGTCACGATGGTAGAATAGCGCACGTTTTCCTGTCACTGTGAGGACATCGTAAGGAAACCTTAGGCTTATCTAATTTCTAGAACTTCCATCACGTAAAGCAATGAAAACACAAACAAACATTGATATCTAAGATTTCAACCCGCACATTTTTTTTTCATTTTTAATCATCATAGCAAAATATGCGAATTCTCTCCCGTTAATTTAATTCTTAATTTTTATCTCGGATCTTTTATTTCTTTATTCTCTGCTTCGCTCGTCAAACTGAGACTCTGGAACAGGTTACGGTATATAAAATGCGAGAAAAACCACCCCACGAGCCAAACACGTCCGTTTTAAATTTACAGCTATTTTGATTTGTTTATAGAACTGTAACAGATAATCCTCCCAAGTTCTGGAGGAGTTGGGTGGGTTTTGCCACCTGAGATGCGGACAGAACCACAGTGAAGTTGATAACAATCTCTTTTCGGACCTCGGAGTCAATAACCTGCCTTTACGTGCAATTTCTGATCCGAAGGAGATGTTCACTGGAGTTTATGATTAGGAGTGGTTCAGTTGACACAGCATTAAATACGTCAACTTTTTATTCTGCAGCTATTTATGAGACGATTCCTTAGTTTAAGTCATTAAGTAGGTAACAAAGCCTTATTTTGAAAGTGAAAGGTTTATTATGACGTGTCTCGGAAAATATTTTAGGCTTCCGAGACACGTCATGATAAACCTTCCACTTGCAAAATAAGGCTTTGTTACCTACTTAATCGGTCAGTATAAAATATGGACTGCGGACTGCGGACCACGGACTGCGGACTGGGTATAAAGAGGGTCTTAATGGGGTTAACCGATAGGCGTAAAACGGCCAAAAATTTAGTCGATAGCCGTACAAATTGAAAAATTTTAACCGTTAGCCGTAAATAGGGTAAAAAAAAGTTAACCGTAAAAGAAATTGTTTTAAGGAAGGTTCTAAACTCACTTATGGTTGCGTTTTTTATTTCGCGGCTAGTTTGGCTCCGTACGCACGTTAGGTAAAGCGCCTTTTAGTTGAAGACCAAGACCCATTTCCACTTCGGCGGCTCTCTCGGGAACTTATTTTTTCTTCTATAGCGAAAGTGTGGCTTCTTGCTGGGGATTAATATTTGCGATTTTCAGGAGGTCGTGCTCTCGAAACATTAGTGAAACAACACGAAGAGATCTCACTGTTTGCAAAACAAGTTGCCGATAAACAACATTTCCCTGTTTTTCTCTGACGCTACGGTAGACATTGCCATGCCTAGTTCCTGTGCGGCGTCTTCCCACGCAATTTCGGTCAAGGCATTTCGGTGGCGAACTCGCTCGGCCCACGGCCTACGGACAAGGCAAAACGGCTGACAGTGGTTCCGTACAGTCCTTCGCTACCATTAAAAACACCGGACACGGGAATTTTGTTATTGGCCGTTTTGACACTAGAGCTAGAAACAGATTATCCGTCTGAGACTAGCCTGTGTACAGTCGCCCCCTTCCCGACAGACACCCCCTCTCCGATTTTTTTTCTGAGGGGAAGGGGCGGTTGTACACAGGCTATCTAGAACGGATAATCCCGTCTTCAAACTGTCCGTCGAAGTCGAAGGATAGAGTCAGGCGGATTGTTCATGCAAAATTAAAACTATTCCATTTTCAAATTAAGACGTATTACCTATCTGACGCGAATCATCAAACGGATAACCCGTCTCACACGAATAATCCGTCTTTAGTGTGAAAAAGGCCATTTCTGTTCTAATGAATGTCGCGTCCAGGGCTTGAGTTAGGCGTTCGCGTGTGTGCTTTGCTTTTCACAAAGATTATTTTTAAATTGACTATTGACATTTTTATGTGTAAAATAATATTAGAAGTGGAATACTTTATAAAAAGTATGATCTATCAAATGTTAAAATTTTACAAAAGAATAGCTTATTTCATATCCCGAGATGATCCTAAGACCTTTATTTTGCTTTTAAGATACAAAAAATACAGGTTAATTAATATTTAACTTTTTGAAAGAAAAGAAGTTAATTTTTAACTTTTTTGTTAACCGTAACTGAAAAAAATTAGCCGATAGCCGTAAAAGAGCCAAAATTTTAGCCGATAACCGTAAATGCCACCACCCCATTGAGACCCTCTAGTAAAGTGCGGACTAGGTATAAAATTTGCACTCCGGGCTGAGTATAAAACACGGACTGGGTATAAAACGCGGACTACGGACTATGTAAATAAAAACAGCTTTAGAAAGGTAAAACTGAGAGAAATGGAAAGCGGACCAGCAAAAACAGTAGTCCCAGCTTTAACATTCCCTTAGCTGTTCACGTATTACGTAGCCTATTCTTCCCACGGAGAAGGAAGGTTATGCCGGTACTCAAGGCAAGGGAAATTTAACTCTGAATTTTATAAAAAGAAGGAGATAGAAGAGATTTCGATTTGCAAATTTCAACCAATAAGAAGCTCCGAATTAGTGAATAGTAGTCAGATCAGTAAAATTCTTATCGGATGCCACAATTCCGTATGAGGACTGAATGAAGAACTCAGACGAGAAGGTCAATGCAGGGCATTCCGCGATGCACAAAAGCGGTATTTAGGGGGGAGGGCAAGGGGGGAGGGATTACTCACATACGTGAATAATAACCGAAATGAGTCATCCAACGTTATATTCCAAGCGATGATTATGATGACATGATTTACACCCTGCTCCTGATCCCCGGAGGGGGGTACTACTGGGAATTCGTGGTGGGGGGTGGTGCCCGGTTCTCCGAATCCCGGCTGACCTTATTGCAGACCAAAAAATGTTTTCCACACTCATTTTCAGACCAGATCTCTAAAATCCATACCCATTTTCGGACCTGGCATAATTTAGCCTGTTCCAGGCTCTCAGATAGTTGGGAAGACTTCCCAGTATTTTCCCCGTTTTGTTTTCGTGTTCGCGCTTTCTTAATTCAACGGACCCAACTATCTCGAAGCCTTGAACAGGTTAGGTCTAATTAGGCAGAAATTATGTCATCATTACCAAGTTGGAGCGGAAACAAAAAAATTCTCCAGATGCATTTCGAATTCGCACATTTCTTTTTCGTTCTTATTCATTTGGAATTGAAACGATAAATACGTCCATTCATGTACGCTCCTGTAGTTCCTTCGAAAACCATACCCTATTCCAGACCAAAATGGGCAAAGTGTTTTCGGACCAAAAAGGCCCAAAACCCCTACCCTTCCCTTATATAAGGGAGTACCCCCCCTGATCCTGACCCCTTTCATGATTGTTAAAAACCGAGACAAGGTCTAAAAATGGGTGAAGAAAATAGGATTTTGATCCGGCTCATGATTCAGAGACCCGGGCGGCACACCTCCACCAAGAATTTATAGGAGTATTTACAACTTTAAATCACGTGTCTTGCTATTTAGCGATCTTTTGAATTTATTTTTCCTTACCTAGAACCAATTAGCACCGTTTTTACCAAAGTAGTCCGTAGTCCGTATTTTTACCCAGTCCGCAGTCCGCAGTCCGCGTTTTATACCTAGTCCGTGTTTTATACCCAGTCCATATTTTCCAGTCCGCGTTTTATACCTAGTCCGTATTTTATACCCAGTCCGCAGTCCGCAGTCCGCAGTCCATGCTTTATACTGACCGCCTACTTAATGACTTAAACGATAATGTTTATACTGGTCAGTTATACCCTATAAAGTAAAGCTGTGTAGGTATGTGCCGCCCAAGGAGTATAGGAGTATACGAAAATTCTAGCCACAAATCGTTCCCGTGTTTACCACATACTTTATCTACGGTCGTTTTTATAAGATTAGTGTTTACTGCACGGCTGTTTTACATTCAATTTAAATTCACTCTTGTTACTGCTTTGTAATACTTTCATGAACATTATTAAAAGGACATCCCAGGTAAGGCTCCCTCATCTAAAACTGACCCCCAAAACCAATCATGATTTTCAAAATGACCCCCAAGCAAAATGGTCGGCCTTCCCTCACAGGTAAACAAACGACTAGCCCCTAAATGGCACTATGACTTCACTTTGACAAGGTAATGACCATGTTTGGCAAACCGAGTACAACTTTCAGAAGCCACGCAGCTCTGAAAAGATCTGAAAACGGGTATGGATTTCAGAGGCTGGGTCTGAACGGGGTGTAGTGTTTTTGGAGAGATAGAGGTCAGGGTTTGGAAACTGGGCAGCACACACCACCCCCACCAAGAATTCCTTGGACTAACTTGTCGGGGGTATCGAGGTACAGCAAATGATCTACAACTGCGTCTAAGCTGTCACATGGAGAATTGTCCAGATCAATTACTGTTTAAGGAGGCCATGTGCTCTTTATGGGTGTGTTGTACCGTCTTATTCGGTTAAAGAAAACTCCTGTGGGTAAAGATTGTCAGATTAGTTGCCAGGTCGGCATGGAGCATTTATTTTTACAGAGCGAGATCCAGATCTTTCACGCTCATTAGGTAATCCTCTTTTCACAAGCACGTAGGCTGCGTTTTACTAAATTTTGCCAAGTGAAAAGGCGGAGCCTCGCGGAGAGTTGTACGTGAAGTCAGCGAATAAATGATGACTTCCTGTTCATTAAAGAACAAATCATTGGAGCAAAAAAGGTATTTCGAAATGAAGCCTGGCCTTAAAAGAGAATAAACCGGCCACTAGAGATACAAGTGACCGAATCCATACAGTTACCTATAATCCAGCTCTACCTAACATCCATGACATACTCCGCAAGAAACAACCCATTCTGCAATCCACCCAACGCTTAAGAAACATCTTTAAAGAAGCACCTGTCGTCGCTTTCTGTCATTCACCTTCCCTGGGTACCAGAGGTTTTTTCTCGCGTGCGTCGGGG